ACACATACACACACTCACGTTACAGTACCTACACGAGTCACAAGTCATGTTCTAATACTGATCAAACCTCTTACACCAAGCATTAACCCTGTAAAGCCTGCTATATGAAACAATAGTCAGAAAAATCTAATTTTTTATAAAATTAAACAGTTTATTAATCTTTTAGACAAAATATTTGTGTATCGGGCTTTTCTGACTCATAGTCTGATACAGTGAGAATATGGAGGAAAAAACAGCTCAGTTTGATTCAGAGACTCAAACTGATCAAAAATATTCAATTTACTGCAGATGCTGATATTTATAATGAAATTCTGCTGCTTGTAATGTAAATCAATGAGATCTTTCTAACAGTACAGCAGACACTATCTCCAGTAATAGTAAGATGAGATTGAAATGCTCCAAACATATAATGCAGTGATTGAGAGCTGAAGAAATAAAGGCTCCTCAGAAGATGTGAGATGTTCTGGAGGCTTGTGAAGATCAGTGGTGGACGTTTGTAGAATTATCAGCAGACTCTACAGGCTTGTGAAATAGGTTGAGAAAGACTGTGGTTGCCTTTCAAACCCATCACATGCAGACAGGCCTTCAAGCTATAGCTCATGTGTCAAAGAAAGACAATAAAGCGAGAGACGACGAGATGCCAGCACTTCAAACAAAGGCAGAGATGAACAGATTCAAACACGTTCAGAGCCTCTCTGAAACAAACAAACACAAAAGACTCCACTGTATTATAACCGCTCACAGTCGGCCGCCTTTATTGAATCACCTAACTGCTTAAGCACCATGAAAATCACAATTTACTGGCATTTCAAACAGCACTATTTTTGAGGGTCGTTTAAAGAGACTCGTATGACCGAGTGAACATCACACCATATACTCCCACAATCCACCGGGAAACTCAACACAGCCATTCTGTGGCACAAATGCAACCTTTATGCTTACACCAATCAAGAAAATGAGCAACAAGAGCAAACTGTGGCCCTTGAGCTGTTCTGATTTCTTCTGTGCAAAACACACGGTACATTAGAAGCATATGATCCATAAACGTGACGAACACGGAGGCTCGGAAAACGATGTTAAAGTTGACGTGTGCTTGAAGGATACAACAGAGACAGTGTCAGAGCAGAATAAATGACAAATGAACGTAATATGCAAGAAATAAAACAGGTTTGATTCAACCTCCTCAGTTTGTGAAATAATTTAAATTATAATAAAATAAATTAATTAAAATAATATTTATAATAAATAATATATATTATATTATTATTTATTATATAGAATATATAAAAAAATAATATATAATTAATGTGTATCTGTAATATTTTCTAATGTTTTAAAAGAATTCTCTTCTGCTCAGCAAGGCTGCTTTTATTTGTACAGTAAAAATACATGCCTGATTCAAGAAGGGGGTATGATCGCCAAAAATATCATTTTAGTAACTTATTCATTTTAAGTTAAATTGTGCTTTGTTGGTATAATGTCTGCTAGAATGTTAAAAAATGGTAAATATTTTTAAATTGTTGTTTTGTAATTGATTTTTACTTTGTAAAGCAAGACAAAACGGTAAAAAGCACATTTTGGCTATTTAATTTATGCAATGGTGAAAACATTTGTCAAAATACATGGGGAAAGAATTTGAAAAACCGTGTTCAGTATTCGGCCTTCGGCCCAGTGTTTCATTTTGTTTCGGCTTCAGCCAAGAATTTTAATTTCAGTTCATCTCTAGAAAATGCTCGTTCAAACAGCGGCAAACAGGACAGTTCGGTACAACAAGCAGCAGCAGCAGCAGCATCTCACAATCGAATCC